CCCAAACACCCTCGGTGTTGTGATTCCATCCGCTGTATTCATGAGCAACAGCTGAAGCAACTGGCACGATGCGAGAAGAACAAAACATAGTACTGTGTACAATACAGCAGAAGAAACGATCCTCCCTGTACATAGCTACACCGCCTGGCTCGGCTGCGCTCGCCGCGATAAAGAGATGGTCTCACACCCACCCTTCGGGTGCAGGTGGAGAAGATGGCTCACCTGAAGAGTGTTTGTCGTTTGCCCACGCCCACCGAGGAGGTGCGCTGCTGCTGTTATTGGCCGTGATCGGCGCTGCTTCGGTCGAGTGGGTTGCCCTGATCATGTTTGTCTCCGACTCAACAAAGTTTTCTTCGACGAGTTGTTTTGGGATGATGCTGAGATACGCTAAACGGGAGGGTGCGCCAGAGCGGATGCTTCGGTTCAGGCGCCGTGTGGGCATGTAGCTTATTGTTGTGCCTTGATTCTCGATCGCTGTTATTTTGCCAAAGTTGCGGTGCTTGCGTGTTGTGTGGCAGAGCGGGCGCGTTGTGAAAAGTGAGACAAGACCCCCCGCCGAACAAAATGCAAGTCTTCATCGATAGTCACAGTAGACCAAAAGAAAGTAACGGTTCGGAGCGTCTCCTGTGCCACCTCCTCCTACTACCTCACACTTCACACACACAAACGTCGGCCAAAAACACTCGGTTAGAGCTGCAGAGATTTCTTGCAACAGGGTGATGGAGATCTCTCCTACTCGTGCATTCGAAAGACCGCTTCGACTTCTACAGGTAACGTTGAGTTACGCCCGTTGGTAGACTACAGTAGTGGTAACGCATAACTACTTCCCTGTTGCGTGTAAGTCTCGACATCGCATTTGACAGCAACAACGATCAGTCGGTATACCATAATCGAGATGGCCCGAATCATGCAATCGGTGTAGCAGCAACAGCGTTCATGAGGGCAGATGCACGTTGCTTGTGAGAGCGACGCAGGCTACAATAGTGTTGGTGCCTTTTATTCGATCATCGGGGTGTCCGATGTCTCCGTTATGTAGTACTGTAGACTGTAGATTTGTGTTCGTTGATGAAGGGGGTCTCGATGTGGTACCCTCCATTTATTGTGTGCTGTATTGTAGTCTTACGACAACATCTCGCATCAGCTAGAAGCTTCTCCAATATACCTTCCACCCGACCTTTGACACAACCAGCCGGAGAACAGTCAAGAACGCTGAAAGTGCCACCACATGGTCGTCGCCTGCTCGTGCTCTTTGCGCAAAGCTCTTGGAACCAACAGGACGCCACCGCACTGTCGGCTACCCCTGGTCCGACAACATCAACGACATCCCCGACCCGTCAAGAATACTACCGCGAGCGCGTCATCGCAGTCATCGCGTGGACGCCAGCACTAGCAGGTTCTGAGCTGCTGCTTCGTACGCCAGCTGCTGCTACCATGGCCAAGTTTCTAGCTTCTCCAACGTCTTGTCTCCTGACAGTAACTATTATTGCAGTAGTACTATAGATGCCCCCCTGCCTCCAGATACATAACCCCGCCCCCGCCTGGCTAGAGAGCATTTTTTCAGCGCTAAACAGCGTCGGCCAGGCCTGGAGCGGCATGTTCGACGCTTGCTGCAACCCCGACGCCCACAGAAGATATGTCTTGGTCAGGAACCAGATGGTGCCCCGCCCTTCAGCAAGGAGGACTGGGCCAAGCTCTGCACATCTAACAGCAAAGTCCGGTTCAGCAATAGAATCGAGGTACGTGAATCAGGTGTCGAGTGTGGGTGGTTCGTGTCGTCGCCCTCCCTCTCTTCGCGAACAACGGCCTATAACACTGTTGTTTGACATACGGCCACTCGGAGTAGACTACTGTATTTCTAATAAAGAAAAGTGTCGCCTTGTGTTGGGGGGGTACCGTGCTGAAATGTGTGACTCGGCTCTACTTGGGTAAGCTAAATAAGATTACATCATGTTGGTATCTTGACTCCGCGGATCGAAGCAAGCTCCGCGGTCAGTTATCAATCGTGTCAAACCTGGCCGACGCATACTGCAACAAACCTGATCCCCAAAGAACGGGGAAAAACATAGCGGCAGTGAAAATGTTTGTGTACGGTGCCGTAGCTCGACGCAGCCATCTTTTTTTTGTCTACTGCTGTACGTTCTCAGTACAGCAACCAACCATCTTTTTTTTTACTTGTATAGTCTACTGTACGTTCTTAGTACAGTACTCTCATTTTTGAGCGTTAGAGTTTGCGTGCATCGATGGCGGTTGCTCATTTGAAGGCAGGGTTGGTATCTACCCGCAACAACATGGACGCGCATACCGAACGCTTTTTCTTCAGTCAGCCGGTCAACGCGACGCGAAATTGGAGAACACGCAGATAATGTGCTGCGCGTTCAAAATGTCTGGATTTGCAACCAAACGTCGGTCACCGTCCAACACGGGTCATGGGGCTACCTTCGAAAAAGCGTTGGTGCGTGGTGGGTGCTCTATGCTTGAGCGCGTGCTTCTCCTCAAAGGAACTCGCCATGCTGAACGATAGGCTCATATCGGAAGGAGGAGCCGGACGCGAAGCATGGATTCGCCCTAAAGAAGGAGATCGCGGACGAGTGTGGTAAGGGTCGAATCGAGTAGCAGAGAAGGAGAAGAAGGTTCGACAGAAGAAGAAGGAAAGGAGCAACGTCGATCGGCCTTGGTGGACGCCCTTCGACAATTCCCGGAATTGCAACATGGGCACGCCCATCCACCCGCGCTCGTGCCTGCGCGGACACTCGCGCGCGCGCCACCCGTCACGCCAACGGTTGCAGATTCGCTCTGAGAAATGAGCGAGAGAAGAAACCAATGTGGTTGTTTGACGTTGTGGTATTGTTTTTCCGGTCGCGACGCACACAGTAGGAGTGGTTGTATACTCTATGATATGCTTCCCTCCCACGGATGCATGTATGTCCTGCACCACAGCAGTACTGTCGTAATGTTCTGTATTGTTACTGTAACTGCATGAAGGATTGTACGTACGTACGTATGCATGGTCGGCATGTTATGTGTCGTTTGGTTGTAACGTATCCATATGCGGAGGAATTGCTGCGTTATTTTTTTTTTGGTCTCCCTTCATTGGACTTTGTCGTCTTCCCCTCTGGCCCCTATACTCCACTTCTACCAGCTAGACGACCCAACCGGGCTCACATAGAAGGGGGGGGTTGGACCCCCTCCTGCGTTTCCTGCCTGATACATTTTATCGCGAGAAGGGTGCAGCAATCCCTTCCCTCGCGACTTATGAAGTCGATCAAGTTTCTAACAAGGAGCTTTGCAGCGCGTCGCTTCCAACGGAGACCAGGATGTAATTAGCGAGNCTCACATAGAAGGGGGGGGTTGGACCCCCTCCTGCGTTTCCTGCCTGATACATTTTATCGCGAGAAGGGTGCAGCAATCCCTTCCCTCGCGACTTATGAAGTCGATCAAGTTTCTAACAAGGAGCTTTGCAGCGCGTCGCTTCCAACGGAGACCAGGATGTAATTAGCGAGATAAAACTCACTCTGTCGGGACTCAAACCCATGACCTGGCCTCAGCAGGCTGCGAGGCTACTCACTAGACGGTGTAAAAGTCTCGTCTTTCTGTGGTCGACCTCGCTCTTTGTGGACTCTTTGTGTTGCACGAGGTGGCCTGGGTATCTCTGCTTTCCTTGCCATCTCGTGGATACTGGCGTCATGGTCCTTCGCCCGTTGCTCGCAAGCGCCGTGTTACAGTAGAGCATCATCATGCAATCTTGTTCTTCCGCCGGGTTCGAGGACAACGGCTACCGCTGCTGACTCTATCCTGCTGCATACACTTGTTTCTGCGGCAGCAAGCTGTCTGAGCCCAGTAGTACTGGACTAGTCTAGCGTCGGTGAGCGTCAGGCTCTGCTGCCACAATATACGGCAATGTACCAGCGTGTCATACCGGTGTACACCCCACAAGATCGATTAGAGCATGTGTGTGGGAGGAATTAAATCCCTCACGCTTCGCGCGGTTTCACTCGCCGCGCCCCTTGGCCAAGTTCCCGTCCGTCTACACCCTAAGAATCTCTCAAATTCTCTCCGATTTTCATATGCGTATGACTTGGTGAGTTATTCTTGCTGTCGTCTTCACATTACAACCGTGTTTCACGTCTCTGATGCACATTATCTCTATCATCCGTACCGAGTACACGGTTGTGTTGTAGTGGTACTCTATTCGAGAGAGAGCGCAAAAAAAAGAGATCCAGAAGTTTTTGTACGCTTTTGTGTTTCCTGCCTGGCACGCTTGATCCCTGTCCTTTTAGTACCGCTACTGGTGCGGGAGCGCGTAACGAGTTACTGGACACATCTGGCCCTGTTTTCTCTTCCTTCAACAAGGGGGCATGCCCCACGAGAAGTTGTGTGTGCCCCTTACCGGAACTCACTGTGTGAAAGCGGGGTAAACATAGTCGCACGTATAGACTCGACTGAGCATGCTGCACTGGTGGATCGAACATTGCCAGATTCCTGCAAGTATGCGGCGCGGACGGTCCACGCATAAATATCGCTAAAGCTGAAGCACTGATGTTCCTGACCATATCTCACGCCGATTTCCCGGCTACTAGGCCACGTGCTGACGGGATTCGAAGCGCCCGTCAACGAAGGACCACCGGTCTCTCGAACCACCTACTAGGCACCTGGTACAGAACAATCCCAAGGGATACACACTTCAAGAAGGGATGAAAAACGCGATGTGCGTTCCTCTCCATTCTCGATAGTCCTCCCTCTCCCCGCCGACCGCCTTCGCGAGACTAATGAGTTTATGAGGGAATATTACAGGGACGGGGTACGCAGACCGTACCTCCTAAGCCTGACTTACCCGATTGGACGTTTTTTCCAACACGATAACTTCATCGAAAAACCCTGCCAAGGGTTTTGCTCCTCGTTGTGAAGGGCGGTTCATTCAACCGTTGAATAGAGACTTAACGCAGAAAACAAAAAGGCCAAAGAATGCGTTGTTGTAGAGCTTTCTTCACTTCCATCATCATGGGCTGTGAAAAACGCCTCCAGGAAAAATTCAAACAATGGTTGTGCATTGAACTGGCCAGACAAAATAGCCTCCTCACTCCATCATCCCTCACACGCATGCTTCTTCATATTCGACATCCATAAACGATAGGACGCACTGGTAACAATTCCGAAAGCAAGTCCATGGAAATGTTTCCAAGCGGAAAAAACAAGACATTATCACAAAAAAACAAAAAGACCGAGCTCAAGGCAACCAATTAAACACTCAACAACAAACACGTCACGAAAGCAGCGATAAGTTTACTCGTCAAGGGAAACAGCAAGCTTCTACAATGTTATGCGTGTGCTCGATCCCATCTAATCCGGCGCCACCGGCCCACACACATTTCGCTGTGGTACATGTTCAACGCATCAGCTACTTGTTACCTCGGCGGGGTTTCTTCTGGACCGGCGGCGGGGGTTCGCGACAGACCCGCCCCCGCCCCCGCCCCCTCCCCGCCCTCTTCGCTTTTTCCCGACACCGACACGCCTCTGCTGGTTCGCGATCCTCACGTCGGTCTCTCGGAAACATGCCAGCAGGAAGAAGCACGCGTCGTGGATAAACTCGTCTGCCTCAGAGGGGTCCAACTGACGAGAAAACACAGGGGGGGGTGTCACAACCAATTTGGGTACGGGTGTATTCATGTCAACGAATACGTTGGTAGGCCATGGAGCTCGCATCCCTGATGTCCCGCGACGGAGCGATATGCCGGGTTTTCGCCAACCCAGACTAGGTCTGACGAGGATGAACGACAGGCTGGTTACCCTTGTGCGTGTGTGGGGAAAGCATTTGGACAATTGGATTAGAGGTGATGGGACAGGAGCATCAATGAAGAAAGGGAAACGGTATCGGACGGCATGATAGCCACATCATCGAAAAATAGGAAGGGGGACGTGTGGTGACACGCCTTTGCTCGAAGCCTACGGGTTATTCTGGAGACGCCCCCGGCGTAATTTTTGCGTGTTGGTGGTACTGAATAGATAGAAGAAACGTACATTAACAAAGAGGTCAAACCAGAATGGTGCCCGGAAAACTGGCCCATATCAATCAACGAGGGGCCACCCGTACGCCAAATACGATTCAAAATGCTCACGACGGACATGCGCGTTTTTCTCGAATGGGATGGCAGGGGAACTTCGCAGAATCATTGGCATAGAGTGAATGCAGCGCATAGAGGGAACGCAGTCACACCCTGAAATAAAAGCGAAAGGTGGGTTCAGAAATAATGTCTACCAAACGTCAGCGTGAGGTCTTGTGCTTGGACCTTCGGGCCACTGTGCGTCAGAAAAATGTATGTATTCTTTAGGAAACAAAAGCAAGGTCCTTTTGGTCCGCCAGGCAAGCACCGAGACTAGGCCGTACCTCCATGTGTTGCACCGTCTGCGCCAGTGATCCGGCGAGCTTCGCCAACGTGGGCATGCCCGCCTTAGCGCCGTTGGAGAGGGATGCTCTTCCCGACACCCCCGCGTAGTACCTGTGAATGAGACGAAAGCAGGGGGGGGGGG